TTAAAGAGCAAACCTTACACTCTGCACTACTTGCAGTTCATCAAGCAGCTCGGCCATGCTGTTACACGAGCTACAAAGCTGTGAGTTGTCGCTTAAAGAGCAAACCTTACACTCTGCACTACTTGCAGTTCATCAAGCAGCTCGGCCATGCTGTTACACGAGCTACAAAGCTGTGAGTTGTCGCTTAAAGAGCAAACCTTACACTCTGCACTACTTGCAGTTCATCAAGCAGCTCGGCCATGCTGTTACACGAGCTACAAAGCTGTGAGTTGTTGCTGCCTTGTGTTACAGTTTAACTTGCTATTCATCTATTTAAGGAAAGTTTAGTTCAAACTGACAAAAACTCGTTTACAGTCCATGTAAATTGTAACATATTGTTACATGTTGAAAACATTAGAAAACTCAAATGAATCCTAATTATTAACAAATCACAAGCTAAGATACAGATCTCAGTTAGTGGAATGACAAATCATGAGCTAAGACACAGATCTCAGTTAGTGGACTAACAAATCAGGAGCTAAGACAAAGATTTTAGTTAGTGGACTAACAAATAATAAGCTAAGACAAAGATCTCAGTTAATGAACTAACATCATGAGCTAAGACAAAGATCTCAGTTAGCGGACTAACAAATCATGAGCTAAGACAAAGATATTAGTTAGTGGACTAACAAATCATGAGCTAAGACAATGATATTAGTTAGTAGTAGGGTTTCCGACTGAAGGCTAACTGTTACAAGTTGTGTTTCCTTTGCACATGAGATTACATTAACAAAATATTATATGGAATTAGTGAATAATAGCTTGATCGTATAGGAAAACTCGACAAAATGCTGATTCATAGAATATCATTCTACACTATAGAACGAGACAAGAAATCGACACCGCCATTTGAGATTGAATTTTGAATTGGGAATGGGGAGAGGGGTTACGGAATTTCAGGGAAGCTCTTGGGTTGCTCTAAATTGAACGGTCAATAATACAGTAAGTAACATGTAGCCTGGCGCTGTAGTGGACTGTAGGTTTACATTACAAAGTAAAAGTGCAAAACTGGTATGTTATTATTAGGTTTTATAATCATCTTGTAAGTAACAATTTATTCAGTTAAACTGGGATTAAATAATACCTGTCTGTTGACAATTGAGTAATTCATTTGTAGAGTGTTACGTAGAAATCAAGTTCTTCAAAACTCAAAAATAATTAGATAATGTTTTATTTATTAAATACTAACACTCTTTGTTGAGTGGCTTCCTACTAGTGTTTGTATAACTTCACCTATTGTGCTTTTTAATTAATTCCATTTTGATATCTCAGACATTACGAATTCAGTAGTTTTTTGCTAGTACTTATATGTAAAATTACGCCCTAGTTTGGCGATATCTTGCTTATTTATATGCTCTAACGTACGCCTTGGTGCTGTCTGTTGATTTTTCCCCGTGTTTCTGTTTTTGCTGACGTATAACTACTTGACATGCTACGTAATTAGTAATTATTGTCTTGATTACCTTTCGCAGCCAGCAGGGAAGCTGCCTTTACTCACGCGATCTCCGCAGCGGGGGTGGTGCACATCATCTCCAGAGCCTGCCGCGACGGCCAGCTGTCGAACTGCGGCTGCAGCAGGGCTCTCCGCCCTAAAAACCTGCACCGTGACTGGATCTGGGGAGGCTGCGGCGACAACATAGAGTATGGCTACCGGTTCACTGAAGGGTTTGTCGACGTCAGAGAACGAGAAAATAACTATATGAGAGGCTCTACAGAACAAGGAAGAAAACTGATGAATCTTCATAATAACGAAGCTGGAAGGAGAGTAAGCACTTAGCTCATGTAGAACTAGGTTCTTGCTAGGCCAAGTAATTTCAGTTAAAGAAAAAAAATATTTATTCTAGATACATAGTTTCAGAAATTAAACAAGTCACCCGATACTATATATCACTGGAATATTATTTGATTTTTTCTTATTATAACACTAACTAATTTGTAGATATACTGTATTGTCCCGATTATAGGGCGATCTCAAATATAAGGCGACCCCCACTTTCAGAAACCATGGGAAATGAAAAATTGAATGGCATAACGTCCTTTTTTTAGATCCGCAAAAATCAATACTATAACTGAACAGCATGCAGGTGAATTAGTTGCAAAAATTGACAATCACCTTGAGCGAACATCTGGTGCACATGCGTAAACGGATGTTACCTAGACATTCAGGAATGCGACAGGCTAGGGAAGGGACCTGTGGTTGGCCACTATTATAAGGCCTAGTTATTTACAGCCTAGTTATTAATCAAAAAACATCGCCTTGTCAGCGGGTCAATACGATATATATCTTTTCAAAATTTAAAATCATGGTTACTTAATTACATCTTTATTTTAAAAAACGATAGTTTTGTATGTTTCTGTAGTTTATCAGTTACATATATGATTTTTTTTTAGAATTCCAAAGAAATAGATATATATATTGAAACAAAAATTCCTTTATCGCAAAAAATAACGTAGAAGTATTCTGAACAAAATTTGTTCTTCCTCTTGGATAACGAGGTGGATAAAGTGAATCCTTGAACAACAGTTGTTTACTCTATTAACAAGACGTGATAAAACATTTTGCTGCTGATGTTTATTTTCACTTTACTCTGCGTGTTATCACTCTCCTCTGAGAGAAAAGGCAAGTAATAAGAGTTCTTGACAGACGACAAGCCATCAGCCCATCTTTGTAGTTATTATTTTATTGGGAAATAAGTTTTATTTTTCCATTTTTTAAGTCTTTTGAGTCACTAAAATAAAGGCAGCGTGTTGTTTTTCATTTTGCTTTGCTAGTAGGTGACACATGTATTCATTAGATTTAACTATGAGAAGAAAATATTTGTAATTCCATAAAACAAGGATTTCACACGGCCGTCGGAGAAACACCTAAACAGCCTAGCGATCAAGTGATTAAACTTACAGCCTCCATTCACCATTTTGCCGTACCAGTGTTTATTGCTTTCTTAAGAATTAAACAAACAAAAGTTTTAAAGTGAGCGTATACGAAAAGAAAGCATCTGTTTTAAGAATATAACTTTGTCAACCGGTTGTTATGTCATAATTGTTGGTTAATATACTGGATGCGTTTCATTCTGTGGGCTCTGTTGTTACAGGGTAAACATTTTCCTGTTTTATGGAAAGTACAGGAAGATGTTAAGATTTTATAACATCTTAATCAATTAAAAAATCTAAAGGAATGAAATGCACTAAATTGCAAAACGTATTTCGAGAAGCAAAGAAACATAAGCATAAACAAAACAATGCGCATGCGTTTTTTGGGTTATACTTTATCTCCAACCAAGTCAACACAGAGAGAATGAAACAAAACAACAATCGGAAGCATTTTTTGTTACATCTTTCTCGACTTTTTACATCCCAACATTTGCCTTTTTAAGTGTTATCTTGTTTGTAAGGTTAAGAATTTCATTTTTTATTTCTTCTGTTATACTGCACACATTAAATTCATTTATATAGAGGTTGAATAAGTTATATTTAAACGATTTTGGAATCTCACCACGTCGTTAAAGTCTATGTTGTCATATCTGAGCATACTCTATCTAATGGATATGCATCTTGACAATGGTCCTGAAGCGTATTTGCCATTGCAAAAGGCTCCATTGAAAAAACTATCATATCCAAAGCACGTCCCCCCTCTCTGACTCCTTTCCGTAAACCATCTCGTGTACGAGGATGACGGTTGCCCAGCACCGATTGAAACAGAGCGATCTTACTGTAATCCAATGGCGTTGCATCCGGCGAACTTACCAGTATGTCTTCGTATGGAATAGCATGAATGCCCGGTTGAAACGGAGGTGCATCTGGAAGCCTTATCTTGGTGAACCCATACTCTGTTGACCTCTTTTACAGACAGAGACTCTTCTTGATTATATTGCGTACTGTTGCCTGGGTCCACTTGAAAAGCTTTTGCCATTGATCTTTGTATTTGTTGATTCCCACCTTTTACAAGACGCCACACACTTAGCTTACCACGACTATGGCACAAATTGTAGCAGATCTCTTTCTGGATGGTCTTGGTGCTCTAAGCTGATCCATATTCCTTTGTTTTCCAATGCCGTTAAGAACAAGCGATATCTCCGTCTTAGAAATTCATAATTCCAGATCTGAACACATCTTTATGATCTGAGTGTTTGAATATTTTGCATCTGGAAAAACTGTTACATATCCTTCCAAAAATGATCACCACACCACCTACGAAACGGTAAATAGTGGAAAAATATAGTTCTCATACAAGCCGTTCCTCCTTGACTTTATATCAACATATTCAAAGTCGTATTCGCATAAAGTACTCAACCTCTATAGTATTGATCTAATTATTGATTTATATCTATTCATTTCGCTTCAAGGAATTTAGATTGTATTTATTTATAAATTGACGTATCTTGTACAATAGGCCTTAGAAGGCCTGTGGTTAGGGCACTCGACTCGCAATTTGAGGGTCACGGGTTCGAATTGGCGGTGGGTAATGTTGACTATCTGCCTATCTAATCTATCACTTCAAAATTATGTTGACCTTCGAAATTTAAAAAAAACATACTTGTACACTATATAATTTTAAACTTTTATTTCATTATGTAAGGACTTAACGCTTTTGACCTTCATAATTTATTACTTTACTGTTCACATATATATCACATCAAGGTTTTCCTCAAAGTATTGTACTGAATTAAAACTATAAAAATACTTTCTAATATCCTGACTTTATAAGTTAATTTAAAATTCTTTAATTCAACAATCCCTACTTATTTACTGTTGTTTTGTCAAATGCATATTAATAAGATTTGATCTCTTGGGGAAACTTGTAAATATTGGTATTTCCGTGCCACTACGTAATCCTACCTAAATGAAACGATGAGTTATGTATATTAGAATTCAGGCCGTATCATACACATTTCAGAGTTGTCGGAACCGGGGGCGTTGTAGCACTCCCACTTTTACGTATTTGACTTACATGGAAATTGTATGTTATATTATTATATTTTAATAATATATGAATATAATTTACAATTGCTATATTAGTCAAATATGTAAAAAGTGGGGCGGTTTCGACGCCTCTGCCTTTTTACCAAGTTATGTAACTGATCAGTGAACTCGGCTTTTCAGTACGTTGTATATACGACAATTTAGAAGCGACATTTACAGTGGCGCTGTGTTACCGAAATCCTGTTGTTTCGTGTGCTTCCTGTTGAAAGTTGCTGTTCTACCCGGTGACTCGCAGTCTACGTGCCTCCGCCTATATCCCCTGGATCATGTAATGTTGCCTAGGTATTGCTTTGAAATAACACGTCTTATCTACAAGGCCCAAGGGCTATGTTGGCCACAATTACAATGGTGACTTCAGCGGTTTTTATGTAGCTGTGAAGTCGCAGAAAGCGGTTCCGGCCAGTAACGTTTTGATTTATATAACAGGGAAACGTTTTATACAATAGTACGTGTATATTGTTAAAATATACCGACTTCGTGCGGGTTAGAGCCAACGCCCAGTGTCTGATGTTTCTTTGTAAGAAAAATAATATATCTTCATTAGATGTTCACTTTAAAATCGATCGGCAGTGACGTTTACAAACTCAATATGAAACAACCAATTACGTAACAATTTCTACAAGAAAAGCTGCTAAAAAGTTACAATCATAATTACAATGAATAACAAATAGTATTAATTAGGAGTAACAAGCAAACTACAAAAACTTCTATCACCACTCTGTCCTAGGTCATCAGTTGAGTATCTCAGTTGCTTAGCGGTGTTTTCGGCCTTTAACCCAAAAACATCTTATGAGGTTGCGCCTACTCAGCGATATTCCCAAACACCTTACTTGGAAGCAGAAATGTCACACCACGTACCGCACCTATCACATTTGGCCCAATAAATTATTTAATAGTATTTCATTTGCCCATTGAAATTGTTACTATTTAAGATATTTAATGTTATATGTTAATCTAGCTAATATTATAAATGACTGTAAATTACTAGAATATATCCCAATTTATATCTAATTTATTATGTGGGAAGCTTCAGCTATATATTAAATATATATATATATATATACTATAATTCAAGGTTTCTCTACAAAATGAATATGTATAACAAAATGTTTAATAAATAGGACTCCAGATGTTTTGGCGCGTATTTTTAAATGTACCTTAAATATAATGTGGGTAACTCCAAAGGAACGTTAAGGTTATTCAGGCCAATGTAAGCAAAGCATTTTTCAAAAATAATATCTTTATTCCGTGGAATTTGTGTATTATACAGTCTTGGCCCAAATATTTGCATAATGTTCTATATTGATGTTACTGTCTACATGCATGGAGTAGTTGTTGAGTAAATGCCTGAATAGTAACGTATGATCGGACAAATGTTTACTAGTTGTTAATTTGGTATGTATAAGTTGTTTTGATCATTTGTTCGTCAAACCACACATACACACCTGTTTTGTGTAAAAAAAGGTGTGATTTGATATAATCTTTTTTGAAACAGATCAACACTGTGTTCTGACAATTTTTCTGTACTTGATGTATAGTCATGCCTGGTCACGTGCCAAAAGTTATAGGGTGTTAAACTGTTCGACTGTCCAGAAATTGTATGAAGAAAACGGGCATTGCCAGAACAGTACGGTATCCCAGTGTACTGCATCCAGAATCCTGAAACATCATCGGACTACAGGAAAAGTTGTTCCACGAAAGTCTATTGGTAGACGCCGAAAAACTACTGCCCGAGATGACCGTGTTTTGATCAGGTTAACAGTCAAGGTCGAAAGAAGTCTTACA